GTGATTATGAAATAATGATTGTTGACTATAAATTATAGTATAAAATAGATTAAATAACTAACCACCATCTACTTCTATTTTTGTCTCTTTTTTTTTTTTTTTGCTGTTGGTCCAATAAGTGACATGAAGACATGATTATTTTTACCTTATTCTGCCATTTTTAGAACTCTTTATTGTTTAATGTTTTAGGAATATGCCATATTTATTTTGATAACGAAGTGCAGACTTCTTTGTGGTTAGTACATGAGCTTCAACACACAGTTATGTTGACATGCAAATATCTTACTCACTGTTTCCATTACAGTGAACTGAGTGAATCCAGTGGCTTTTGTTGTCTTTGTTGTTGAAGAAGCAGAATTTGACACAAAGCCATTCAGGTGTTTTGCTGAAAGTGAACCTTTCAGAATCGCTCTCTTCATCTGCTGCTGTTGGGAGGGAGATGCAGCTCCTGTTGTCACTGATTCCAGATCTTTCCACTTCACTTTCACCCTGAACAGAACTTTGTTGCTGTTGGATCTGGTTCATTTGATCTTAGGTGCATTTATTAATATGACTCCAGGATATTGACTGGGTGTAACTGTGCTGTCTGCTTTCGAGACATTACAGAACTATGTTGCTTCTCACAAAAGTTTGTTGTGCCACTGAAATTTTTAGAGTCCTGATAACTTTTGTTTACTTATTTCACACCTAACATAGCTGCCCAAGTTTATATTGGTTTATATATTACATTTATATATCCAGCCGTATGTATTGTGACATATTGTAAAACGTGTATTGTAATGTTTGTTTGTTTTTTAGCTGTTAAGAATGAACTTGGAACCTGGAACATATGATCACTATTCAAAATAATTTGCAAACATAATTCCTAACAAAATAGTATTGAGTTTATTATACACTCTCAGGAAAAAAAAGGTACAAAAGTTGTCACTGGGGCGGTACCTTTTCAAAAGGCATACCTCTGTACCTAAAGAGTCCATATTGGTTCCTTAAAGGTACATATTAGTACCTAAAGTGTACATATTAGTACCTAAAAGGTACCTTTTGAAAAGGTACTGCCCCAGTGACAGCTTTTGTACCTTTTTTTCTGAGAGTGTAACACTCATTTTTTGTTTAATACTGATAATTAATTATTTACAAAACCTTGTAAGCTTGTCATAGCTTAGCCAAATGAGCAGTAGAATATTGTGGCCTGCTTGAATGTACTTTAAATAAATAATATAATGTAGAATGTGACGCATTGCATCTTGAAGAATAAAAATGCGTCATAATTGTGGCATATCAGTGAGACTCACATACCTACATATGTAAATTGTTACGGGGCGAACGAGACATGAGACTTGCGGATCCATTTGCAAAGCTTTAATAGGAGACAGAGACGTGGTCATGAAACAGGCATGGATCAGACAATGACAAACAGGTATACTGAGGGCAAGACAGAAGAATAATCCAAAACGGGCGTGGTCGATAAGCGGCTAACAATATCCAGAGGGCTTGACATGAGTATCCAATAAATAACACGAGCTAGAGTCCAGGCGAGGTGCAAACACAGTCCGAAACAGCAGGCAAAGGGTTAACTCAAGATAAACAGGCAA